ATTTTAGCTGTGACGGTCCCACCTGATGACGGAGACTTGTGTTGCCTCCGAAACGTCGTGATTTTCATTGTTTTATTTTTATTAATTTTCATTTCATTTTTTACCTACGTGGTGACTTTACCGAAAGAACTAAGAGTATGAATCCTTGCAGTCACGAAAGCTTCAAATCTAGGGGGAGATTTTCTTTGGGGGGTGAAGGGGATTGGCGAGGTCATTGCCGTTCTGGGATCCGGTCATTAAGACTGAGCTCAGGTTTATGAGCAGACCACGTGTCCGTGTGTACAGGCAGTCCTCGGATTACGAACACAGGCGCTTTCATACTCACTTCCATGATTTGATTTTTTTACATCGACCTAAAATATAAACCTTCACTTGCAAATTGAACCCAGGCACTATTTTGTTCAGCCTAGCGATCCTCAGCGAGATGTAAAAGAGTCAGTCGAGTGCTGGGTTTAACCAGGCTGGATTGTGTGAGGAGCTCACAAATCTTTGAAAGATCTGGACAAAGTCCCATCGGTGAGTTCCTCCGGCAGTCAAGGCTGCGTTGGCTGGGCCATGTAGCCCGCATGCCCAGCCACCGCATGCCTACACAGCTTTTGTTCGGCCGGATTGAGGGGGCTAAACGGGCGCGGCACGGGCTGGAGAAGAGATGGAGTGATGTGGTACAGGAGGACATGGAGCTGAGTGGACTTGCCGATGACTGGTACCAGCGGTGTCAAGATCGGCCTCTGTGCAGGAGGCTCGTGAAGGACGTTACTGGGCAGTTGGAGGCAGTCACCCTCCAACAACAACGGAGGGCGGAGGAGTGACGCTCACAACAACGAGCGGAGCGCCGGGTGGCTAAAGCACATCAAGTTGGCACAGTAGGGGGCACAGGTGGTGCATCAGCCAGTCATCTCGGTCATCTCAGTCAGCCAACCCATGGCACCTGCTGGGTCTGTGCCGTGACCTCCTCCTGCACCTAGCCTGGCACAGTAGGGGGTACAGCTGGTGGTGCATCTACCGGTCATCTCAGCCAACCCGTGGCACCTGCAGGGTCTGTCCCGTGACCTCCTGCACCTAGCCTGGCACAGTAGGGGATATAGCTGGTGGTGCATCTACCGGTCATCTCAGTCAGCCAACCCGTGGCACCTGCTGGGTCTGTCCCGTGACCTCCTCCTGCACCTAGCCTGGCACAGTAGGGGGTACAGCTGGTGGTGCATCTACCGGTCATCTCAGCCGACCCGTGGCACCTGCTGGGTCTGTCCCGTGACCTCCTCCTGCACCTAGCCTGGCACAGTAGGGGGTACAGCTGGTGGTGCATCTACCGGTCATCTCAGCCAACCCATGGCACCTGCTGGGTCTGTCCCGTTACCTCCTCCTGCACCTAGCCTGGCACAGTAGTGGGTACAGCTGGTGGTGCATCTACCGGTCATCTCAATCAGCCAACCCATGGCAACTGCAGGGTCTGTCCCGTGACCTCCTCCTGCACCTAGCCTGGCACAGCAGGGGGTACAGCTGGAGGTGCATCTACCGGTCATCTCAGTCAGCCAACCCATGGCAACTGCAGGGTCTGTCCCGTGACCTCCTCCTGCACCGAGCCTGGCACAGTAGGGGGGGTACAGCTGGTGGTGCATCTACCGGTCATCTCAGCCAACCCGTGGCACCTGCTGGGTCTGTCCCGTGACCTCCTCCTGCACCTAGCCTGGCACAGTAGGGGGTACAGCTGGTGGTGCATCTACCGGTCATCTCAGTCAGCCAACCCATGGCACCTGCTGGGTCTGTCCCGTGACCTCCTCATGCACCTAGCCTGGCACAGCAGGGGGGTACAGCTGGTGGTGCATCTACCAGTCATCTCAGTCAGCCGACCCATGGCACCTGCAGGGTCTGTACCGTGACCTCCTCATGCACCTAGCCTGGCACAGTAGGGGGTACAGCTGGTGGTGCATCTACCGGTCATCTCAGTCAGCCAACCCATGGCACCTGCTGGGTCTGTCCCGTGACCTCCTCCTGCACCTAGCCTGGCACAGTAGGGGAGGTACAGCTGGTGGTGCATCTACCGGTCATCTCAGCCAACCCGTGGCACCTGCTGAATCTGTACCGTGACCTCCTCCTGCACCTAGCCTGGCACAGTAGGGGGTGCAGCTGGTGGTGCATCTACCGGTCATCTCAGCCAACCCGTGGCACCTGCTGGGTCTGTACAGTGACCTCCTCCTGCACCTAGCCTGGCACAGTAGGGGGTACAGCTGGTGGTGCATCTACCGGTCATCTCAGTCAGCCGACTCATGGCACCTGCAGGGTCTGTCCCGTGACCTCCTCCTGCACCTAGCCTGGCACAGTAGGGGGTACAGCTGGTGGTGCATCTACCGGTCATCTCAGTCAGCCGACTCGTGGCACCTGCAGGGTCTGTCCCGTGACCTCCTCCTGCACCTAGCCTGGCACAGTAGGGGGTACAGCTGGTGGTGCATCTACCGGTCATCTCAGTCAGCCAACCCATGGCACTTGCAGGGTCTGTCCCGTGACCTCCTCCTGCACCTAGCCTGGCACAGTAGGGGGGGTACAGCTGGTGGTGCATCTACCAGTCATCTCAGCCAACCCGTGGCACCTGCTGGGTCTGTACCGTGACCTCCTCGTGCACCTAGCCTGGCACAGTAGGGGGTACAGCTGGTGGTGCATTTACCGGTCATCTCAGTCAGCCAACCCATGGCAACTGCAGGGTCTGTCCCGTGACTTCCTCCTGCACCTAGCCTGGCACAGTAGGGGGGGTACAGCTGGTGGTGCATCTACCGGTCATCTCAGCCAATCCGTGGCACCTGCTGGGTCTGTACCGTGACCTCCTCTTGCACCTAGCCTGGCACAGTAGGGGGGGTACAGCTGGTGGTGCATCTACCGGTCATCTCATTCAGCCAACCCATGGCACCTGCTGGGTCTGTCCCGTGACCTCCTCGTGCACCTAGCCTGGCACAGCAGGGGGGTACAGCTGGTGGTGCATCTACCGGTCATCTCAGTCAGCCAACCCATGGCACCTGCTGGGTCTGTCCCGTGACCTCATCCTGCACCTAGCCTGGCACAGTAGTGGGTACAGCTGGTGGTGCATCTACCGGTCATCTCAGTCAGCCAACCCGTGGCACCTGCTGGGTCTGTCCCGTGACCTCCTCCTGCACCTAGCCTGGCACAGTAGGAGGTACAGCTGGTGGTGCATCTACCGGTCATCTCAGTCAGCCAACCCATGGCACCTGCTGGGTCTGTCCCGTGACCTCATGCACCTAGCCTGGCACAGTAGGGGGGTACAGCTGGTGGTGCATCTACCGGTCATCTCAGTCAGCCAACCCATGGCACCTGCAGGGTCTGTCCCGTGACCTCCTCCTGCACCTAGCCTGGCACAGCAGGGGGGAACAGTTGGTGGTGCATCTACCGGTCATCTCATTCAGCCAACCCATGGCACCTGCAAGGGTCTGTCCCGTGACCTCATGCACCTAGTCTGGCACAGTAGAGGGTACAGCTGGTGGTGCATCTACCAGGCATCTCAGTCAGCCAACCCATGGCACCTGCAGGGTCTGTCCCGTGACCTCCTCCTGCACCTAGCCTGGCACAGTAGGGGGTACAGCTGGTGGTGCATCTACCAGTCATCTCAATCAGCCAACCCATGGCACCTGCTGGGTCTGTCCCGTGACCTCATGCACCTAGCCTGGCACAGTAGGGGGGTACAGCTGGTGGTGCATCTACCGGTCATCTCAGCCAACCCGTGGCACCTGCATGGGTCTGTCCCGTGACCTCCTGCACCTAGCCTGGCACAGTAGGGGGGTACAGCTGGTGGTGCATCTACCGGTCATCTCAGTCAGCCAACCCATGGCACCTGCTGGGTCTGTCCCGTGACCTCCTCCTGCACCTAGCCTGGCACAGTAGGGGGTACAGCTGGTGGTGCATCTACCGGTCATCTCAGTCAGCCAACCCATGGCACCTGCTGGGTCTGTCCCGTGACCTCATGCACCTAGCCTGGCACAGTAGGGGGTACAGCTGGTGGTGCATCTACCGGTCATCTCAGCCAACCCGTGGCACCTGCAGGGTCTATCCCGTGACCTCATGCACCTAGCCTGGCACAGTAGGGGGTACAGCTGGTGGTGCATCTACCAGGCATCTCATTCAGTCGACCCATGGCACCTGCTGGGTCTGTCCCAACCAGTCTCGAAAGGCCGAATCAATACAGTCGCTTCTAAATTGTATTTACAATGAACATCTCTTCAATGTTTATAATAGAAGTATTTTTTTGTAACTTAAAAGCCGCGTCAAATTTTTATTTGTTTTAACGAAATAAATTAAAGCTCCCCACGACTGTGACGTCACATCCGTCCCCGCCAGAGATAAATGTAATCGTTAAGTCGTCCCGGAAGTGACCTCATCTCATATCGCTTCCAAATTATATTTAGATTTTTATTTTTTATCTTTAACATTTATAATTGCTATTTTAAAGTAACGCGGCCGATTCTGGAAATCTTGATAGTGTAATCATTTAATAAATGATTTAACAAGATAAATAAAAGCCCCCCTCCCTCATACACGTTCGTGACGTCACATCCGTTCCCACAAGAGAAATTTGAAATCGTTCAAAACGTAACGGAAATGACCTTTTTCACATCGCTTTTAACTTATATTTATAACAAACATTATGTTCACCAGTTCTATTTGAGACTTAAAATCGACGCAGCCGCGTCTAAATATCTCTAAAATGTAAGACAATAATTCTTTAACAAATAAATAAAAGCCCCCACCCACCACCCCACGTCTCTGTCGTCACATCCGTCCCCAGCAAAGACAATCGAATCGTCAAAACGGAAATGGCGTCATCGCACCCGCTCTCATTTAAAACAAATAAACACTCACTTACATTAAAAAAAACGACTCTACGGGCACACGGTAAAGAATAAATTCACCTCAATCTAAAACACATTTGTATTTAAAAAAAAACCTATTTCAGATCCCCCTCATGACGTCACGTCCACCCGCCCCGCCCCCCTCACCACACAGCAGAGGCAGTTGAAGCCAAGATGGAGACGAAGCGTTGCCGCGATGGTTTCGTATCTCGCCTCCACTGATCTCCTCGTCTCGACTCCAGCAGCAAACCACGTCGCCGACGAACGCCCCAGGCGTTTTGCAGCGCCGCCAACAGCAACAGCAGCAGCAGTAGCAGCGGGAGCCAGGCGGAGGAACCGCGGCACCTTATTCCCATGAGGTAAACGCATCGGCAACCCCCACCACCATCACCACCACCATCATCACTAGCACCCTCCTCCTCACCTTCCCCGATGTTTGTTAATGGTGGTGGTGGTGGTAGTGAAGCCCGCGCTGTGTTTGGGGGAGGGGAAGGAAACGCGTGTGTGTGTGGGGGGGGTGGGAAGAGATCTTGTGGCGCACACTTAAAGGTTTCCACTACTTTGTTGTGCTGAGGGCTGGTGGTGGTGACTTGTGTTGCCTCCGAAACGTCGTGATTTTTATTTTATTTTCATTAATTTTGATGTTTTAGCTACACGGTGACTTTACGGAAAACACCTAAGAATGTGATTGCTTGCAGTCACGATAGCTTCAAATCTAGAATTAATGAGGGGGGGGGGATGTTTGTTTTTGTGACTGGCCAGACGCAGCATTTGTTTTTTTACGAGCAAGTTTGACGATTTAAAATGTTTTTTTTTGTTTTGCTTGAAGGGTTTTTTTTTGTTGCAAGATGCGTTGTGGTTATTGGTGTTGGTGGTGTTGCGTGGTTGTTCCATATTTTTTTTGAATGGAGAGCGGTGTTTTTGTTGCAGCTCCCGTGTTTATTGCGTTCTGATCGGCGGTGTTAGATAATTGGAATTAATCCTGATATCGATTTTATTTTAATCGGAGGAATCTGATGATCTGTTGTAAAGATATTTTTGGTCACAACACGATGGGAGTGCAAGGTAAAGAAATGTTAAATAAAATCACCGAAATAAATACAAACACGAAACCAGACAAAGCCCACTGAGGTATTAACTTATTTTTTTTTACAAAATCGATCTGGCCACAAATTATTGCTCGGCAAAGTGGTCCATCATTGAGCCATTTTAAAGCATAAAAATAATCTAAATAACCCAAACGCGTGTTCCTAAACGTGGAGGGGGGTGGGTGGGTGGGAAACCCACAATTCGGAGGGGCCCGATAAAGGTTCAGCCCTGCAATATCTCACCCCCCCCCCCCTCATCATCATTGAACCATTTTAAAGCATCAAAATAATCTAAATAACCTAAACGCGTGTTCCTAAACGTGGAGGGGGGTGGGTGGGTGGGAAACTCACAAATCGGAGGGGCCTGATAAAGGTTCAGCCCTGCAATAGCTCACCCCCCCCCCTCACCATCATTGAACCATTTTAAAGCAGAAAAATAACCTAAACGTGGAGGTGGGTGGGTGGGAAACTCACAAATCGGAGGGGCCTGATAAAGGTTCAGCCCTGCAATAGCCCACTCACACCCCCCCCCTCATCATCATTGAGCCATTTTAAAGCAGAAAAATAATGTAAATAACCTAAACGTAGAGGGGGGTGGGTGGGTGGGTGGGAAACCCACAGATCGGAGGGGCCCGATAAAGGTTCAGCCCTGCAATAGCCCACTCACACCCCCCTCTCACCACACCAGTTTCACCGTCTCCCACACCACCACTTTGTGAGTTTTCCTCGGCCATCGCGTTCGATAAATAAATTCCCACTTTGAGTCGCCAGATTTATATCGGAAAAGGTGTAAAAAAAACGCGTAAGGGGCCTCCCGCTAGAGGGAGATAGAGAGAGCCCCTTTGTCGATTGTTGCGATGCTCGACAATTCCACGGTCGCATGACGAGGCCCTGGATCGACTAACAACAAAAAAAACTGCTGGAAAAAAAATCTACTGCCGATCCGTTTTTGTTTTACATTTATTGCATTTAGGGATTTTAGTTTTTTTGGTTTTACTTTCAATGTCGTAAGTGGTAATATAGGCACGCTTGTGATTTTAAAAGGGATGTTTAATTGGGAATGTAACGCCTTACCAGACGACATTCACCGGGGAGATGGAGCAAATAAAATCGGTCCGTGTGCAGGGGTTTATAGGTGGATTGTTATGCCGCATTGGCGAGGCCTTCATCATTCGGCCGTGGATTTGCCATGGTTGATGATGATGCAAAGAAATTCTGCTTGTTACAAGGTATATTACCGGGTTAAAAGGTACATCATTGTAATGCGTTCCACACCGTCTAACAATAACTATAGCAAATAATGTTTTACGTTTAATGTCAATGCACGATACAGTATGTGGTTTGAGTGCGAGGTTAAGATTCAGTAATGTTTAGCTTCTACGTTGGGGTGGAGCGGTAGTGCAGTCGTTAGATAACTGCGATATGAACGCGGTGTTCCGAGGTCGATTTCCCGCTCACGGCCTGCATTGGCGAAGAGTATTATGTGAATCGGTCCTGGGTCCATTCGCCCTTGACTCTCCTACAATGACCAACCATGGCGAGATGTTAACTACCTCGCCAGGTACGCAAGAGATCGTGGGTTCGACCCCCCGACGCCTGCTGTATGTTTGGAGGTTGCATGTCGTCCCTCTCCCCGTGGTTGCGTGGATTTTTCTCCGGGTCCTCGGGGTATTTCCCCGCCACATTTAGAAACGTGCGTTTAAGAGTATTTTTTTTTACTGCTATGAATTTCCACGCTATCATTTGTGGCCGTGTCGCGTCCGAAATATAACTATGTAGCTCGAGTGGCCCTTACCTGGTCGAGAAAAATCTAGTTTAAAAACAAAATAGTTTTGTGGTCATAGTTAATCCCACGATTTAAAGCTTTCGTGACTGCAGGGATTAATCTTCTTGGTTCTTTCGGTAAAGTCACGTAGAGGGGAAATAATAAAAATAAAACATAAAATACAATTCTCACGACGTTTCGGCCACAACGCAAGCAGCCGTCCTCAGGTGAAGAACAGGGCTGTCGGAAAGACAGTGTCTGAATGAACACCACAAGGCTTGGAGCGTCTATTTAAGCTGGGTTGGGGGAGGGGGAAGACCTGTTCTTCACCTGAGGACGGCTGCTTGCGTTGTGGCCGAAACGTCGTGAGAATTGTATTTTATGATGTTTTATTTTTATTATTTTATTGTTTCCCTTCTACGTGACTTTACAGAAAGAACCAAGATGATGAATCCCTGCAGTCACGAAAGCTTTAAATCGAAATTTTATTACGTTTAATTTTTATTATTTTATTATTTCCCTTCTACGTGACTTTACCGAAAGAACCAAGGAGATTAATCTCACGGTCAGTACATAGATTGAGGAGGACCCTCCTCCAGCGGTCGTTTGCTAAAGAGCTTTGCGTGTTTTAAATTATTAATTAATATGCGAGTATAAACATAGGTTAATTACAATGGATCAAAGGCATTTTTTTACGTGACGCCTTTAACGGTGTTCACTGTGTATAGGTTAATCCTAATCTAGCGAAATAGAAGTTTATTTTAATGTGCATATTTTTATTAAATGCAATTTTGTCATTGATGGGCTCGTCATCCAATGGCGGATTGACCACTCCATAAAATGCCACTTTATACAGCAGTACATATTTAGTCTCTTGCAAACAGTGTGATTAATTTCCATTAAGGTAAAAATTTCGATTCGAAGAAATAATACCTTTGTCAGCAGAGGGCAGTGCCACGACATATGTAGTTGTACAGTACTATGCTCCATAGTCTATGGTTTCCCACCTTAAACCTGTGCTGACCAGTCCGGTAAAACGACCCCGCCACTCGATGTATGGAGTGGGGGGGGGGCATCCAGTAGTGGATTGACAAACAGGGCCTAAAAACTTAATTTGGAGCTTTCGTGACTGCAGGAATTATTCTTTGGTTCTTTCGGTAAAGTCGCGTATAAAGATAAAATAAAAAAGTATTTAATTTATTTTATTATTTTATCTTTATACGTGACTTTACCGAAAGAACCAAAAAATAAAACGGCCTAGTACGTGTGCATGCCTAGTTTTAGATTTGAACGTTCTGATCTTACCGATTTGAACGTTCTGATCTTACCGCAAGTTTGTGTCGTCATTAATATTAATGTTTGTAATGCCACTTAATGCAGCAATGAAGTTTTAATTGAGGTGAAATGACACTCGGATAAAAAAAACGCATGCGACAGCACTGTTAGAGGATTTGCTCTCCTGACTGTAACACGAAGCAACCCGGCGGTCATCCGTCTTAACAGGCAGCAGCCATGCCGATGAGACAGAAAAAGGTGAAACTTGTCGAGAAATTTTTGCTTCCGAAAAGATTTGTTCAGAATGTTGTTCATAGGCTGATGGACTGAATTTACTACGGACTAGTTAATTATAGGGCCTGTCTTCGCCAGGCAAACGTTTTCGACAAATGTAAAAATTAACTTGATATGATTTGTTACAATTTTTTATCTACGATCAGACATTAACAACTACTCCAACAATTTGTGTTTTTTCCGCAAAAAACAAATTTTTTTGATAACTTGATATTTAAAGATGTACTCATCAGAAACTGCTCAATTCAAAGATTGTTCTTTTTTATTAGAAAAACCCCAGAAATGTATGAACTTAATACTCTGAGGGGAAGCTCTCTAATCTTTTACCGTTTTAGAATTATTCAGATTTGAACATCATAAAATGTGTATTTTTTCGTTCAAAACCGCTTGAATCCGAAATATCTCAAAAACAAAAGATAGAACGATGGTTCTCGCTTTAATCTTACTTGCTGTTTAACACTCTATCAAAAAAAATGGCAGTGTTTTGAACGGTTTTTGAATGACACGGCACAAACATGTTTATGGGGCACTTAAAAATGGAAATGTGGGGTCCTTAAAATGAAAAATCTTGGATTTTCAGATGTCCTGTTGTTTTGTCCTAAAGCTACCTATGTAGCAAATTTCAGCTTTCTACCTTGTCGGGAAGTACCCTATAGCTTTTTGAGACATACAGAGTAAGGTCTTTATATGGATTTCATTTTTCAGTAATAAAAAAATATATATAAGGTTCTATGCATTTTAAGGGGCTTTTATTTTTTGGAGGCCCTCTAATATTACTTTGTATTGTACGAACCAGAATTAGCCTCTGCTTTTCAGTGGCGTACTTTTAACGTTTCATATTGCTTTTAGTATAATTTGTTTTATTATATAAAGAACGACATAAATATTACAAGCTGGTCTTCGTTGAAATAACAGGGTTTTGGTTGTGATAATGGATATACCAAGTCACCCCGCCTGTTATTTTGGGGACCCACTGTAATAATGTCAGGACAGTTCCCACTGGCTCGTGTTTGGGAGGGTCCTGCTACATTGGGAAGTTGGAGCAATCGCTTAAAAAAAATGACGAGTGTTTTGCTTGGTTGCCGGAGGAAACTATAGCACCCGGAGAAAACCCATCATGCGTAAGCAGGCGATCGCACTCAGAAAGTCCGCACAGGTGGGTTTATGAACACGCTTGCTATATAACTACTGTCTTTTTTTCTTCTTGATTCTTTCGGTAAAGTCACGTAGAAGGGAAATAATAAAATAATAAAAATAAAACATAATAAAATAATAATAATAAAAATTTCTTATGTTTTATTTTTATTCTTTTTTTATTTCCCTTCTACGTGACTTTACCGAAAGAACCAAGAAGATGAATCCCTGCAGTCACGAAAGCTTTAAATCGAATGGAGCTCTGTATGACCCACTAACCATTGCATCCCAAACACTGACAGCTTACGTAACATCATTGTGATATTAGAGGGCGCTTTTTCACTTGAGCAATAGTGTTGTATGTTTGTTTAACTTTCTTTCATACCGTACTTAGACAATCCTGTTAATCGTTAAATATGAGCATCAACTCAGACATTTTGTGCAAATTGGACCTGCCGTTATAACGTGGAATTTCCACTGTTGGCTCTGGATTGTCAATGGGGTTAAGTGAGGGGAGTGTTGCGTCTTGGGTTTCATAAGTAATGCAAACGGTAATTTTGTGTAGAATTATATGGCCTGGGATACGTAATGAGCGATAACACCGCTGAGATCGTGGGTTCAAGCCCTGGGGCTGTGCGTCTCTTTATCAAGAGTTTCATAACAGCGCAACACAACGTGGGTTTACATAGTATCCAAACGTGCCCGCAGAGCAAATGCGTTGTGCAGAAACGCTGGTCGTATTTTATTTTATAGGGGCAGTGACAGCAGGACCACAGAAATGGCCTTTATTGAGCCTGGATTTAAACTGGGGTAGGGAATTGAGAGCACCGATGGCTGGGGTGAGTTACAGGCTGTGGGGGCAGCAGAGGAGAAGGAGTGACCTGCCAAGAAGCGAAGGTTAACCTGGGGCTTCTACATGAAACTTTTATTGAAGCAGAGTGCATGGAGAGGAGTGAGATGAGGCGTGAGTGGTAGGAGAGTGTGTGGAGAAGGTAGTGTGAAATGAGAGAGGTTGGAGAGTAATGAAGGGGGGAAGAGTGCACGGACGGGAGTTGAGTGAGATGACAGTGGAGAGGTAAGGAGAGTGCGCAGAGGAGTAGAGTGAAATGAAAGGTAGGAGAGTGCGTGGAGGGGAACAAGTATGATGGGGGTAGAGGTTATCAGGGACTGTCTGTCGGGGCTCTTGACAAGGAGTGAGATCTAGAAATTGATGCAGGATTTGATTAGGAGCCAGTGGATGAATTGGAGTCTTGGGATGATATGGTGAAGGGGGGTCTGGTTATAGCTGCGCATTTTGGAGCATGTGGCGTTTGGAGATGAATGATGGGCGGAGGCTGGGACATAGAGGAGAGAGAGATTCCTACGCAAGATTAAGAATATATTACTGCATGTGAAAAGGTCGCATTTGTGAATGGGTATCGAAAACAAGGTTCCACCGTGCACAAATACTCAACTGGGGTGTGGGTTAACTGGTGAGGGTGGTTATGTGACGGTCGGATATTGGACGTTCATTTTGTGCCTTTGTAGTTCTGCTGGCGCTTAGTGTGTCTAACATGGGCATTATTAAACCTCGGAGCCACCAGGCCACGTTTATAGTTTTTTCACGCAACGTTGAACACGGCCATTGAAATGCGGTTACATTATTTGCCACAGGGCATCGGTTGCTCTTGATGACCGTTTCCCAAAAATGAAAGTAGTCACTTCACAAATTCCAGAAGTCCGGTTTAAAAAAAAAAATGTTGACCGGTTGAAACTGTACTGAAACCACCCAGCATTACACAAACATTGCAACGTGAGCATGAGTTTGTGTGTGTGTGTGGAAAGCGTTAGGCGCAGTGGTCTGTGGGTGGTGCTGTTGGTGCAGTGATGAGTGAACCTGGCACCTCGAGTTTGCCTCACGCTCGCAGCCAACTTTTGTTTGCCGAATATCGGAACACAGGTTCTGTGCCCTATCCTAGGTTGTCAACCGTAGCCGAGTATCTGCTGCGGTGTGTTTAACATCAGCACTGGGGAGTCCAAGATCGCTGGGCTTGGCGAGGCCGGCATAACATTGTTTTGTTCCGGCTCGGCACTTGTTAACAACCAGTAGGCAACCACCGTGTGAGGGCGCTGGCCTTAGCTCGGATATTACAGTGGATAAAGGGAGTATTGAGAATATATCCCGAGCGCCCCCCCCCACGCCCCGGCAGGCGAGGTTGTTGAGTCGAGGTGGTGTCTCTTGTGGCAGGGATAGGGAGGTGCAAAACAAGACCTCGGAGGCCGACACATTGATGGAAGAGAAGCGCAAGAAGAGGGATGATAAGAAAAAAAGAGATTCTTCCGTGAAAAAGGTGCGAGAGAGACATGGCCTCTGCAAGCAAACTAAACCACAACCCCCCCCCCCCCCCCCCCTGGTCTCTTGAAGATAAACAAGTATAACCCGTAAAAACAAAGTTTTTCACTATAAATCCTTTATATGCGTGGCGGCTAGAGTCCTCTCGTCCTCTGGCTTGAGATGGCTGCCACCTATGGGTCAGATGATTGCATGGCAGCATTAAGCAATTGGTAATTACATATCATATTTTTGTCCTAAAAAGTGTAAAATTTTGGGGAAAAAATTTCACGAACATTAATTGTCACGCACAACGAGCATGTGTGCAAAATGTCAGCTCGATTGGATCACGGGAAGTGGGTTAAAAAACGACCGAAAGATTTGCACGGTCCTAAGCAAGCAAGCAAGTGAACTTAATATAAAGGATTTAACAAGTAAACCCATAAAAACAAAGTTTTTCACTCTAAATCCTTTATATGCGTGGCGGCTAGAGTTCTCTCGTCCTCTGGCTTGAGATCGCTGCAATCTATGGGTTAGATGATTGTCTGCCAGTATTAAGCAATTGGTAATTAAATATTAAATTTGTTTTCCCTAAACAGTGTAAAATTTTGGAAAAAAAATTTCACGAAAATTTATTGTCACGCACAACGAGTCTGTGTGGAAAATGTCAGCTCGATTGGATCACGGGAAGTGGGTTAAAAAACGAGCGAAAGATTTGCACGGTCCTAAGCAAGCAAGTGAACTTAATATAAAGGATTAAAAAAAGTAAAGCTTTTGTGTGGCGGTTATTTTAAAGAATCTCGTACATTTTGATTGTCTAGTTTAACACGCAGTAGCTTTTCGCGACCAATATTATTAATAATAGAGGTGTTTTTGTTAGATCGCACAAATATAAATGTGTCGTTAAACCCGCCACCACCCGACGCAGCCAATTAGTACACCGGTGTGTTGGAGAGTAAACCATCAACATTTAAAATTCGAGTACTCAAGATACAATTTTTTGTGAATTTACTCTCAAACACACCGGTGCGCTCAACTAATAACAAATTGGCATGTTTTGTTTGTGCGACAAACCTTACTGTTTGATTGTCTAGTTTCTAGTAGTAGGTTTTTACCCTTTTAAACTGGTACAAAACTGACACCTTTATTCAGGGCGTCATGTTTGCAATAACCACAACACAAGTAGTCAAAAAAGCAAACAAAAAGCAACTCTGATAATGATAATGATATGCACTGTCCTTGAAGTTGATTGGTCCACACCCGAGACGGCTTTCTTTAGAGCCTAGTCCCCATTGGTCTTGGACCAGATGACACCAGAAGGCGGACAACTCATCAGAGTTGCTTCTTTTTGTTTGCTTTTTTGACTACTTGTGTTGTGGTTATTGCAAACATGATGCCTTGAATAAAGGTGTCAGTTTTGTACCAGTTTAAAAGGGTAAAAACCTACTACTATATTTTGCCACTGGTAAAAGAGATCTCATAGTGTCTAGTTTCTATTTTTTTTTCTTCTTTGTGTTGTTTGAACTCTTTTGGTCCATTCACGTGAATAGTCAGAATAAGAATTTTTCTTCAGAATCGGAATACATATACTGAAGGAATCCGATGAGATATTAAGCTATTTTCATAGATGTCCAGTTGGGGCACTGGGTAAGATTGTGTTATTAGCCTATTCTGAGGACACTGATCCTGAGACCCGATCTCCAGGAGCCGAGTCTCAAGATCTGGAAGTCTTGTGTCCGTTGCGTGTGTAGTGTGTGTTTAGATGAGTCGGTTTGAACGCGATCTTCGTTCATACCTGTATTGATATGTGTTCACGTTCTTTCTTTACAGGCGTCCGAGGTAAAGCCGAAAGGTAAGATGTTACTGCGACTTTTTCCGGCCGAGTGGGACCTAGGGATTTTGAATTAATTCCACGAGTGAGAAAGTAATTGTCTCTGCTGAAAATAGCATTTGTAATTCAACGTTGCTATGGTTTGTACAGTAGACAGTCGACACACACCCATCCCATGCAGGGTGAAAATTATTTTCTAGTACTTCCAGTAACCGAATAAGAAAAAAAACCCCACTGACATTCCGGTTACCGATTTGCCACGCATAGCATTGTCTAGATCAGGGGTCGGCAACCTACGGCTCCGGAGCCGCATGCGGCTCTTTACGGGCTGCTTCTTGACGATATGTACGTATGTACAGTATGTGCTCAGATGCATTGCGGCTCTTGAAATACTGAATTTTGTATCGAATTGGAAAGAAATGGCTCTTCTTGTTATTTTGGTTGCCGACCCCTGGTCTAGATCAATAAGCACAACGTGAGACCCTTCTTAACTGAGAAACGAAGGGAGCTGTTGTGTTATGATGCTGAAAAAAAATAACGCTGGTCAACACACTTTTTCTGGCATAAGGTATTCCAACGGTTGTAAGGTAATTTTGGGGTGCTGATTCCAAATCTGGCATCAGTTTTTGTCTATCACATCAGGTTTTTGAGATCAAATATTGCATTTTCAATAAAAACTGCAGAAGAAAAATACTAAATAAATGTGGATATCTACATAAAATGATATTATAAACACACTATCCTAAAAATACAGCACCATATTTAACACTAAAGCAGTCACTGACTCGCAACAACTTGCAATCGTAAGTGACAGAGTTAATTTCGGGTAAAATCAATGAAAATGGGGTATGCCGATAGCATAAAAATGAGATGTGATAGAGCAAATCTGAGATCAGATTTGGAATCAGCACCCTGAAATTAGTCTAGAACAGCTGCAAAAGTCCAGGCCAGAAAAAAAAAATTTTGTTGACCAGTGCAATAATAGGTTTTTTGCTTTAGCAAAAGATGTGATGATGTTCAGACACCTTTTGCAGGGCAGCAAGTCTGCATTAATCACACACACTTGTGGATAAAACATGCAAACAGACATGCTCTGATGATATATGCGTTATCTTTGAAACTATAAAAGACATACTCTTAGGTTTTTTCGGTAAAGACACGTAGGAAAAGAATAAATAAATAATAAAATAGCTCGTACAAATTATTCTATAAATAAAATAAAGATTAAAAATATTTATTATTCTTTTATTTCTATCACCACATCTACACGATATTTATTTATAATTTTTTGCCTATGTTACTTTACCGCAAAAACCTAAGAGTCTGTTTGGTGTTTGAACGTCTTAACACCCGCTGTTTGATTTCCAGAAAGGGTAGAACCTATTCTTGTTTTTCTTAATTTTGGATAGTGTCACAAAAGGTCCCATAGGTATGTGTTGTAATGGTTCGCACACGGTCCGGCGGTTGAAATTATGGTGCAAGTTTCTCTAATCTTCCAGCCACTCTCCAGTCAGCAGTGTACAGGTAGTCAACTACTTACGATGGAGATGCGTTACGACGACCCCATCGTAAGTCAAAAATATCGTAAGTTGAAGATGGCCTAGTCTACCCAGGAGTCTTAAAGAACGGTGATAATTTAGCAGAACAGAGCAATTTACAGTACCGTACTGTATAAACTATATACTGTGTGTACTTATTAATTACAATACTGCATTGCACAGTCAAATGTAAAGTAACAAAAACAAGGTAAATTCTTAGCCTACCTATATGAACTGCAATTTAATAGAAAGTTTTTTTCAGGAAACAATCCTCTCTGCTATAAAAACTTTGAAAATTCATTGAACGTATCGTGGTAACCCTAAAATGAAATCGCTAAAGCTACGTATCATACATGCATTGAACGTATCGTTCGCTGCTGCGTTTGCCTGCCGCGCGAAATTCAAAATATGTTACAATTTTGTCGTATCGCCATCGTAAGATCGAAATATCGTAAGCAGACCATCGTAACTCGGGGACTATCTGTAAATGTGTGCACCACAGTTTAATGAGTTAATCGGCAGGGTCTGTGTGTGGTACACCCGCCTCTTCGAAGACCTCTGGCCAGCGTGGAAGAGTAGACCAAATACCCACGACAGCTCCCTTCTAGTGAAGGATCTGAATTGTGTAAGCAAGATAAAGTAAATTAAACTTTTTTTTATTTCACCAGGTAAGGCCAATTGAGCTACCTAGCTCTCTTTCAGAAGCGACCTGGCCACAAATTATAGCCCAACGAAGTGGCCTGTCGTGTGGACATTTGTAGCAGTCAAAATAATCTTAAGCGCATGTTTCTGAATGTGGAGGGAGAAACCGGAGAAAAATCCACGCGATCACGGGGAGAGAGACTTGCAAGGTTGCACCTTTACGTTTGAACAGAAATTAGGACAAACGTATTTAGGCCACCGTGCAGTTTGTATGCTCACCTGCGCCCAATGGGTGCACGCGTGACTGACTTTCCACGGAAACGTTGACCAGTTCCTGGCTTGCGCAACCGATAATAAAAATGCCAATCGGTTTATCGGTTGTCGTTATAAACGTGAGGGTTTTTTTAATGACGTCACACCGTGGCCCCCCCCCCCCCCCTTCAACCTGCCCTTCCCATCAGACGCAGCAAAGCCTGTCGGTCGACACTGCTCTCAACAACAGCAGCAGCCGCCGCCGCAGCAGAACCAACAGCAGCAGCAGCTGAACCAACAGCAGCAGCAGCAGCAGGGCGTACTTGCAGCAGCCAGCCCTTCGCTTGCCGCGTGCGCAGCTCGATTCCAGCTGAGAGAAGTTCCCCCTCGATTCCGCCAACAGGAGCCCAAGAAGCTGCCCAAGTCTGGACAGGTAGGGGGGGGGGGGCTCATCTAGCGGCGGTGTCGCGAGACGGTGAGCCAGCGCCACTGAGGGGCCCGTTCTCAGGCCTTGGGGTCTGGGTATCTCATGGGTTCATAATGGCAGCGCCGTGAGTTTGTATGTTTTTACCCCCTCCGTATCTACATGGGTTTCCTCCGAAAGCTAAAACAAAGCGCGTAATGTAACTGATACTGACCAAACATCGAAATGCTGAAAAATATACCAAAAAATTATATAAGAAACATTGTGCGGTGAGGCTTTCCTCGGTTAAATGAGCTTGGTAGTAAAGTAAAAAAAAGTTACCGCTAATAACTCTGTGGCTTGCAGACCGGGGCTTCCATTGGTACGCACAGTGGGCCGACGTCAAACTCCCCGAAGGCTTCGACCCAAGACTCGTCTTCCAGCGCCACAGGAGGTATGAACCCGTGGCGTCAAAACTGACTTCGCACGCACACGCGCACACGCGCACACGCACACACACGACGGCTAAGATCCCCCACGTAGCCTTTAGCAGAATTGGGACAAGCGCCGTGAGCGAGCGGCTTCAAAGGCCGGCACGGAACGCAAGGGAGGGGGGGGGGCGGTGTGGCCAGGCACTCGCCTGGCCGTCTTTGTCTCTCCAGCGGTTACACACCCCGCGGCCAGGTGCTCGTTTTCAGTTGATCAAGGGGAATCCCAGGGACCGGTTCAGATATTCGTCAGCCCATGCAAAAGCTGTCCTTAGCAACATTCCTACCCATAGCACCCAGAATGGCCCCAACACAAACCATAAACATAACCATAACACTAACCCTCGTCAATATTCATGGTAACACGAGCCCGGTTATGAAGCCGAACACTTATCCCTCTGACTCTACCCTTCCGGTTGCTCAATGTGCTCTGAAGAAGGGTCAATGCCTAAAACGTTGCCTTAAATGTAACTTTTCTTTTTAATGCAGTGCCATGAATGAATGCGTTGAGATTTTTGTGATCGTGCACCGCTGCCAATTCAGCGTCACCAAGTTTATTTATCTCACATTGTCCCTGACGCTGGTCTCATTACCAGCACTGGCCATGACCCTGACACCGATGCTGTCCTTGCCACACGCTACTACTAACACTAATATAAATACAAATACTACCTCTATCCCTGAGACTATTCCTAACACCGGCTGTGTAGCATTTTGCCTAATACCAATCCTAACGCTCGCCCGTAAAGTCGGTAGCCTCTCAAACACTTGCCACAACAAAAAGCCACAACGGTAATCCACCAACTATAAAACTCCTTCTGATGACCATACCCCCCCCCCCCTTCCACTTTACTAGTCACGCCATTACTAACCTCGCCATTGAAACCAGCGATGAGAACTTTAGCAAAAGTAGAGCTGGGATAGATTAAGTCAACAACGAAAATAAATATTTGATCGACCACTTTTTTTAGCGGCCGATAACTTGTTCCCCTTGAAAAGTGGCGGCCATCCCCTGCCTCTTGAAGGCGGGAAACCCCCTAAAAAGTTCTCGTCCCCCCACCGCCCGTCCAGCGGCACACTTACGAATAGTGGGGGTGAGGCTTTTGACCCCCTCCCCCTGGAACTGTTTTCGTGTAATTTGATTGGTCGAGTAACCTATGATTGTCATGGATAACTGGAAGCTGGATGTAAGCACACCTTGTAATAAACGATGCTGATATAAGCACTGGTAGGGAATGCAAAGGACAACTTCTGATGCACACTGCTATGAATCTAAACACGACTGCACTTGCTACCAAGGGGTGTGCCTAGACACAGCTTCTGCTCGATCCAATAGCCCAGCTCTAGACCAAAGCGCATCCCTCTCCCCCTCCCCTCCCATAACCCACAGCTCCTCCAGACTCTGCCATGAACTCGGGTCCAGCATTTGAGGACAATAGCAGCAGCAGCAGCACCACCAACAGCTGGCCCTGCCGTGCACCCGGCGCAAACAGCAGCAGCAGCAACAACAACAACAGCACTGGCGGCAGCAGCAGCAGCAGCAACGCCTCCATTCCGCCTTCACTGCCGGGCCCCAACGTACATTGGCACAATGGCTGGGGTGGAAAGACGGCATCTTCCATATCTGCTCGACATACCGGGAAACAGCAACAGCAAGCACAAGCCAGCGGCGTGGAGCCGCAGTCTGGTTCTGCGGAACCCGAAGGTGCCGGCGCTACTACCGCCGCAGCAGCAGCGGCGGCGGCGACAGGATGGGGTGATGCAGCAGACTCGGGCGTTCCTGATCGAGGCTGGGGTAATGATTGCAAGCACCGTAGCAGCAGCAGCGGTAACAACCTAGGTGCAGCCGGCGCCGCTGCGGTCGGCGGTGGCGGCGGCAGCAGCAGCAGCAGCAATAAAATGTCAGGCGCAACCGGTGTTACGGTGGGCAATGGCAGTAGCAGCGATAATACAGCGGGTGCCACAGTAAAAAGCAGCAGCAGCAGTAGCAATAATGCGGCAGGCACAGCCAGTGCTACGAGTGGAGGTAGCAGCAATAACAGCAGCAGCAGCGTGTCGGCCGCAGCTGGCATGACAGTAAGCGGCAGTTGCAGCAGCAGCATCGTAGGGTTAGCGGGTGTGACCGTAGTGAGCAACGGTAACAACAGTGGAGCTCGAAGCAGCAGCGGCGCAAGCAGCACCGGCGGCACCGGCGGTGGCGGCACCGGCAGCAGGAACGGACCCCCCAATCCGTGCATCAAGACGCCGGCGGGAGAAGCGCCCGCCTCCCAAAACCGGCGCGAAATCGACCCCCGCGTCCTCTCCAACGCCGGCTGGGGCCAAACGCCGGTGAAGCAGAACACGCCGTGGCCTATCGCGTCGCCGCCGAGGCCGCAGCCTCCACCTCCGCCGCCGCCACCCACGCAGCAGCAGCAACAGCAGCAGCAGCAAGCGGCTCGGAGGGAGGGAACCAACGCGAGGCAGTGGACGTCACCGTCATCGTGCGGCTGGGACGATGGCTTCACGGTGGGCTACTGGGAGGACATTGCTCCCGCTATCGCGGCCGCTGCCGCAGCCGCTGCTGCTAGTACTGGTACTGCATCGTCTTCATCGTCGTCCTCAACAAAGTCAAAGTTTGGACTGCAGCCCCATTCGAGCTGGGCTGAACAGCAACAACAACAACAGCAGCAACAGCAGCAGCAACAACAACAGCAGCAGCAGCAGCAGAAGAATCATGGAGCAGGGCAATGGCAGACCGGACGGGCCGCTGAGCAAACTTGGGATAGCGCTGGCGGTTGGAATGACTCCCGCTCGCAAAGGGGTGGCGGCGGCGGCGGTGGCGGCGGCGGTGGCGATAGTGGTGGCGCAAACAGAGGTTGGGGGGGCGCTTCGACTGAGCGCTGGGGAACGTGGGAAGAGCAGGCGGCATCTGCCAAAGCTGCGGCAATGGCACAAACACCGGCGATGCCGCCACCGCCGCCGGCAATGCCGTCTTCATCTTCAAGCGCGATGCAGAGAGGCTGGGATGATTCTAGGCCTCCCTCCGCCTACCAGCAGCACCAACAGCAGCATCAGCAGCAGCAGCAACAGCAGCAGAGGATGGGCTTGGAGGGTGGGTGGGGAGGTGGCGGCCGGAACAGCGACACGATGGGGATGTGGGATGTAGACTGGGAGGAAGAGGGAAGGTATGGGCAGATTGGGAGCGGCGGCAGGAGGAGAGGGATGTCTGCATCGAGCGAGCAGCAGCAGGACCGCGGGCGTCCCATGCAAGGAGGAGCAGCGCCCATGAGGAAATTGTCTCCTACTGGTGAGAGAGACGCTCTGTGTTGTGAATGATACTCGTATTGAAACCCGGACTCCTGGAGCCGAGTCTTAAGACGCTGAGACCCGGTCTCCTGGAGCCGAGTCTCAAGACCCTGAGACCCGGTCTCCTGGAGCCGAGTCTCAAGACCCTGAGACCCGGTCTCCTGGAGCCGAGTCTCAAGACGCTGAGACCCGGTCTCCTGGAGCCGAGTCTCAAGACCCTGAGACCCGGTCTCCTGGAGCTGAGTCTCAAGACCCTGAGACCCGGTCTCCTGGAGCCGAGTCTCGAGACCCTGAGACCCGGTCTCCTGGAGCCGAGTCTCGAGACCCTGAGACCCGGTCTCCTGGAGCCGAGTGTCAAGACCCTGAGACCCGGTCTCCTGGAGCCGAGTGTCAAGACCCTGAGACCCGGTCTCCTGGAGCCGAGTGTCAAGACCCTGAGACCCGGTCTCCTGGAGCCGAGTGTCAAGACCCTGAGACCCGGTCTCCTGGAGCCGAGTCTCAAGACCCTGAGACCCGGTCTCCTGGAGCCGAGTCTCGAGACCCTGAGACCCGGTCTCCTGGAGCCGAGTCTCGAGACCCTGAGACCCGGTTTCCTGGAGCCGAGTCTCAAGGCCCTGAGACCCGGTCTCCTGGAGCCGAGTCTCAAGACCCTGAGACCCGGTCTCCTGGAGCCGAGTCTCAAGACCCTGGGACCGGGTCTCCTTGAGCCGAGTCTCAAGACCCTGGGACCGGGTCTCCTTGAGCCGAGTTTCAAGACCCTGAGACCTGGTCTCTCGGAGCCCGAGTCTCAAGATCCTGAGACCCGGTCTCCTGGAGCCGAGCCTCAAGACACCTGGTCCTCAGTCTCTCTTCCCTTCTCTCTCTCAGGCTGGTACGATCGTTCGCGGCCTTCCGAAGGCTTCTCCCGCGGCGATGACGGCACATCGCTGTGGGGTCGAGGCGGAGAGGGAGCAGCCCCGGGGTGGGCGGCATCGCATCCCCCGCCCGCCCCCGACCCCCCCGGGGTTCTTCCAACCAACGCCGGGCGACCTGTGTCCGGCTGGGCCAACACGCCGGCCGCTGAGCGCTTCTCCAGCAGAACTGGTGAGTTCGGCATCCGAATCGGAATCTTTATTTGCACCGATGGAGGAATTCGATGAGCCTCCGAAGATCTTTTTCTCGCACAAGTCCCCAGTATGGGCAAGGGGGTCGGCAGGTTACCACGGCCAACAATACACACACATCTTCTTGGTTATTTCGGTAAAGTCACGGAGAATGGAAATAGTAAAATAATAAAAATAAAACATTATAAATTAATAAAATGAAATAATTATTTAAAATGTTTTGTTTTCATTATTTTATTATTTCCATTCTACGTGACTTTACCGAAAGAACCAAGAAGATGAATCCCTGCAGTCACGAAAACTTTAAATCGAAATTTAATACGCACACAAATTAACGATAGCGGTACAAAGATAGAGAAAATGGTAAGCAAGTCACTGAATATGAATAATCCCATACCACACCAAGATAACACAGCAGTGGTCCCTCAATAAGATGGCACCGTTAACCGAACTATTGATACACAGGCGAGGAGCAATTTTACAAATCACATTTGCAAATGTGACTGCTGTATGCAGCACTCATCTTCTGCTTCGTGATATGTTTTGAAGGAATATTTACGATGTTAGGGGAGGGACACAAGGTTGTTGCAAAACGTTACAGCAAAGGCCTTGTCACCTCTGTCAATCCTTGTTCTAGGGATATTTAAAAGGTAATTAGATGGAGGCCTTAGGTGTCGTGGATTTGACAGTGGGCTCCTTAAGGACGTACTCTCCGGCACAGCCAGCGTAGCCCCCCCCGCGGTGACGGTGGTTTTCCATTGGTCACGAACCGCGATGCGTTGGCCTCGCAGTATCTGAAGATGGCTCGCGAGGCCACGCAGTGCTTGGTGTAGGTCATGTGACGTCAAGTTGGGCACGTACACGGCGAAGACACGCTGCCGTCCACGTCATCGCATGCGTCGATGGCGACTTGATCGTTCCGCGAGAGGTCAAGAGTTCAGTGTCCAACCCACTGTGTTCCCGACCCGGCTGTCGTGAACCTCCCCCCCCCCCAATCCCAAGCCCACATGCTTGCCCGCGCGCTGTCACGGTTCGCACACTGGACTTGCAACCCGAAGGTCGCCAGTTAGTTTCATTCTCCCGTGGCGCAGCAGTTCGAACGACGGTGCAAGTTTCTTAAATCTACCGCCCCCCTCCCCGCCACCTCTGTCCACCAGAGGTCGCAACCGGGTACCCGATACCCGTACCCTACCCGATACCCGGCTACCCGTACCCGGCCAGGTACGGGTACCCATTTGTGACCCTGGTGCGGCCGGGTACGGGTAGGCCGTGAGTCACTGGTGAGTCACCGTTTGTCACTCATTTCCCAACGTCTTGTCTCTTCTCACAATTCAAGTTCCTAGAATCAACCCACCCGCGCCTACAATATGGCTTAATCCCAGAGGTCGTAATCGGGTACCCGATACCCGTACCCTACCCATACCCAGCCGTTTCATTCTCCCGCGGCGCAGCAGTACCCAGCCGGGTACGGGTAGCCGGGTATCGGGTAGGGTACGGGTATGAGTACCCATTTGTGACCCTGGTGCGGCCGGGTACGGGTAAGGAATCAAAACCCGTTTGGGACCTCTGCTGTCCACCCAGAGTGTAAATGGATTCGTCACAGTTAGTTGATCGGCACGTTGCGTGCGGTGGTGCCAAGTGGCGGAGCTCCCACATTTTCTCAAGACGTCTTGGCCAACGTGTGGAAGTGTAGAGTCGAGCTGCTGCTCGTTCGCACGTCTGTACGTTGAACTTCTTTCGCACCGTCCATAGCCAAATGTGCTCGTAATCGGAGGTGCGGGAGGACAACAAACTAAACACAAAAAGTAGTGCTAAAAAAATTAGTTTTCAATCTAGGTGATGTAAAAGTGCGATAGCTCTCGTAGGCATGCCCCCTCCGCCAGCAGTGTCGCAAGAAACCAGTTGCAGGCCTGCGCCTTTACCTCCGAGGGTCTCAGTGGGTTCGTGTTGTGTCGGCCGGCGCTGCGTGCAGACAGGAGCAAAATGGACGGCTGGAGTGGGGGACTACCCGCTGCAGATGGGTTCTCTCCCGACTGGACCACACTCGGGGGGCCCCCCGCTGACGACCTCGCTTCGGAAAGCCTGTGGAATGGGGGGCCCCTCTCGACGCATAGTCCTGGGGGACATCCGTGGAGGAAACCACTGCAGCAACAGCAGCAGCAGCAACAGCAGCAGCAACAGCAGCAGCAACAGCCCAAGGTGTGTGTGGTGGTGGAAGCACCTGGGTCTCTCCCGTGGCCTCCTGTCGGCGAGCGTTCGACACTTCACGTGGCCTCAAAGTGCACCTGGCCTCGTGTAAACGCCGTGGTAACGTCACCGTCACTTAGTGACTAATGGAGGGTATATTAGTATTGGTGTAAGCGGCAGTGTGGGGGGGGTCTGTGTATTTATGGTTTGTGTGCGTTGCCCTCCAAACAATAACGGATGGAGGAGTTTTTGCTCGCAGCAATGAGCGGGGCACAGTGCATCCCAGTTGAGCCACAACACCCGCTGGTCTCTATCCCGTGACCTGCCAAGCAAGAGCCTTCCACATTTCCCGTGTAATTTGGTTGTAGTTGTATTTGTAGAGGGGTGTGTGTGTGTGTGGGTGTGCACGCCTGTTTGTGCATGTGGAGGCTTACGTGGTGTGTGGTGCCCCCCGAGTGGCTTGTTTGTACATTGGTGTCTGCCTGAGAAGAGTTGTAGGGGTCGTGTATTTTCCCGTAAATATGAGCGCATGCTCATGCTTTTATTACACGCCTGTTTTGTTTAAGTCTACATATGCAGAGAGGGGGTTGCCGTGGTAACGCTTGACGCTGGTGCTGATTGCGGTTGCGCCAATGAGAATGGTGATGATCCTAATGCTGTCGGTGGTGGTGGTGATGTCTACAGGGTTATGAGCTGATGCTGGCACGTCTCCTGAAGCAGCTCACTGACCTAGGCTTGTCGGTGAGTGACCCCCATTTCACACGGCTCACCAGGTGTGGGTTCCAGTGATGCATTTCACACGTGAAACAACTGAAGACTAGCTTGTGTATCCAGACCCAGGTAGTGACGAGCAAATCCAATAGTCTTCTTGGTCCTTTCGGTAAAGTCACATAGAAGGGAAATAATAAATAATAAAATTAAAACATAATAAAATAATTATCACGACGTTTCGGCCACAACGCAAGCGTCGTGAGAAGAAACGTCGTGAGAATAATTTTAATATATTTTATTATTTTGTTATTTCCCTTCTACGTGACATTTCCGAAAGAACCAAGAAGATGAATCCCTGTAGTCACGAAAGCTTTATAGATACGCACAGTGGAACCCCTCTTAACGCCGGCAATTGGGTTCCACGAAACCGGTAGTTAAGTGATTTGGTCGTTAAGCAGTAACACCAAGAATTCAAAAAGAGACGTTTCCACGTCAAAGCCTCGACAGACACCGGATGTAATCGACGTGCCCCCCAACGCTCACGAACGGACGTCGCCGATTGGCCGAGGCCCGGTCAGGCCACTCTGGGGCTCGCCGATTGGCCGAAATTGGCGGTTGCGTGCTGGTTGCGAGCCCGTCGTCAGCAGGGGAATGGTCGGCAAGTTCCAAGTGTAGCCGAAAGAGATGTTTGCTAACAGCACTGGTCAGGATGGCACGGCACACGAGGGGCTGGGTAGCCAACACCATGCCTGGCCGCCTCCATCTCACCATTGCTGATGTTAACACACCGTACCTGTTACTCATTTAAGGCTCAGTTGATCTAGGGGGAGGCCCAGGGGCGATTCAAATATTTGCCACTTATTGGTCATGAGTGGGAATCGAACTCGGGTTCAACGCGCAGTGGTCTAACCTCTGCACTACCACCGCCCACGAGAGAACACGCGTGTGCGATAAGCAGAGGTCGCAAACGGGTTTTGATTCCTTACCCGTACCCGGCCGCACCAGGGTCGCAAACGGGTACGGGTACCCGTACCCGGCCGTACCCGTACACTACCCGTAGCCGGCTGGGTACGGGTAGAGTACGGGTATCGGGTACCTGATTGCGACCTCTGGGATGAGGCCATGTTGCAGGCGCGGGTGGGTTGATTCTAGAAGCTTGAATTGTGAGAAGAGACAAGACGTTGGGAAATGAGTGACAAACAGTTACTCACCAGTGACTCACGGCCTACCTTTACCCGCACCAGGGTCGCAAACGGGTATGGCTACCCGTACCCTGCCGGGTATTGGGTAGGGTACGGGTATCGGGTACCCGGTTGCGACCTCTGGCGATAAGCCCTCGTTTAACGTGGTGGATGCATTCCTGTAAAGTGCCTCGTTGAGCGAAAAACACATTTGGCAAAAACAATTTCCCCGTAAATTACGTGGTTGGCGAGCTACGATGTACAACTCGCACAGTCAGATGGCGGGATAAATAACTGTGGGTACTCCGCCGCGTACTGTATCACTCCGCTCACCCGCGCAGTTCATGAAAGTAGTGCGTCATCGACCGCTCAAAAGGCGCGTTATAACGGTGCGCGGAAAGTGTTCCCTCACGGAAGATTAGCGTGTTTTCTTGTTTCTGCCCATGGCTAACAAAAAAAAAGCGTTGGCCAAAACATCCCAATACTGAAAATTCACCTCGCTTAAATTACTCAATTGGGATTGCACATGGCGGCAGCGGCAATAGCAACCATGCCCCTCTCCCCCCCCGACTGTGTAAACTTGGCAGGACCCTCCTGAAAAAGAGGTCTTGAGACTCGGTGAGAATTTTCTTGGGCAAACAAGTGAAACAACTATAATAATAAGCCGATTTGTGTGGTGGTGTTTTTTTTGGTCTGTCGTCTCAGAGGGAACAAGCAGAAGAGATGCTTCTTTCAAACAACCTCAACTCGGACTTGGCACTGGGTGAGTTGTCGGCGTGAGAATGTTGTAGATCAGGGGCAATCATTTCTTCTTTACTCTTGACATAACTTTCGTGACTGCAGGAATTCATATTCTTTGGGTCTTTCGGTAAAGTCGCGTAGGTAGGTTCAAAGAAAATAACAAAACTACAACGTTTCGATCGCAACACAAGCGTTTGATGATGTTCGGATCGGTTGTGTTGCGATCGAAACATCGCAGTAGTTTTTTTTTCTTTGAACCCATCTACGTGACTTTACCGAAAGACCCAAAGAATGTCTTCTTTACTCGTTTAATTTCGCCGTTCGTGTTCGTGTTGAATATCCTTTGTTACAAAATTTGGATGCGTTTCAGCTCGCCCGGATTAAACATTTCTCCTCGATTGATGTGACACGAACGCTGAGAACAACCCGCCTGATCGCCTGCCCTCCTCAACTCATGTTAAAAGAGCTCAGCGTTGTTTGCAGCTGCTGACACGGCCGTCGCGAACCTTCATTGCCCTTGTGAGCCTACTCTTTTCACGTAAACTGCGGGCATCCCAGCAGCAGCAGCAGTAGCCTTTGGCTGGCCATGGAACCAAGACGGGGTCACCGCATCGCGCGCTTTCAGACCTGCTTCTGCGGCCGTCTGGAACCGCGCTGTTCCGATATTAGGAAGCTCCTGGAGTGATACACTTCTAATATCATCTAGATTCACAAACTAATTCCTTTAGAACTGCTTTTTGTGTTTTGTTTGTTGTCCTTCCCCTCGCGCCTCCGTTTTGCACGGTTGGCTACGCACGGTGCGAAAGATGTTCAACATACGTACACACGTACACCCGGCCACTTAGATCTGCGGTGTATAGGCCTAAGCTGCTCCCCACATGTGACTATGCCGCATGGCTCTGCGAAGTGTTTTCGGGTTCGTGCCGTTTGGCCCGACGTCCTGACGTTTTGCTTCACAAGTGGCCGACTGGTCAGTTGGCCTTCTGAGGAAGCTTCCGGCGCGTCGAGAATGGTCCTGAAGAAGCTCGCCGGCACGTGGAGCGAAACGTCGGACGTCGTGTCAAACGGCACACGGCGGCACAACCCATAACGTTCGTCGAGGTTTTTGATAGCGCCACCGCAAAAACCCACGCAGAACTTAGCCACCCGAAAGGTGTATCTGGTTTGGCACGGGTCACCGGAAACGTGGCAATGTGTGTGATCCTGTTTTTGTTGTTGTGGTGGTCTCGTCGTCGTGGTGTTCTCAGGAGCCCTGCTGAAGGCTAATGTCGACAAAGCCAACCCGGACTATGGCGGCGGTTTGACGCGAAGCCCCAACGCTGGCCTGAGAGAGCCCTCGCTGGAGCGCGCTCACCTCTACGAGCAGGTGAGCGTGCGGTCGACCATCGTAGCGGAGGTGAAGGACGCAAGGCAGCAGGTGCTCCCTGGGTTTTCTTCCGCAACGAACCGAAACACTCGACGCGGCACGTTCGTTGGATGCTTGCGCGCGTGATGGTTTAATTTGTTTGGCCGCCAAATAATTACATGACCCAACCCCAAGTGCCGAATATGAAATCGTTACGTTGGCTGCAAAACCTTAATTTTACCAAACCGTTGGCCAGTACTGTGAATGAGCCTTCTATTAACCCTTTCCCGTTCCGAGACATCTGCAATTTTCCGGAATGCTCAAGCGGTTGGTGTTCCTTTTATTTAGACGGGCGTAGCGCCGTTATTTTTAAAGACTATGTGCTGCCCGTGGATAATTTTCGCGACACGACCGCACTGTTAGCTATTCTTAGGTTTTTTCGGTAAAGTCACGTAGGTGAAAAATTAAAATTAATAAAAGTAAAATAAAAAAATAAAAAAATCACGGCGTTTCGGAGGCAACACAAGCCTCCGTCTTCAGTTGGAACCGTCACAGCACGATAGCTGTATCAAGTGAGAGAAATTCCAAGAAAACAGTCCTTGTATATATACTGGTTGAGGGTGGGAGGAGCCAAGGTAGGCCCTGGATATTATTTTTGTGAGGTTCGGTGCGGCTGAAGCACGCTGTGAGGAATTAGCCTTTGTTCTGTAGACTAGGTGCGGATGATGTAAAGGTGCATGTAAAAGGGACTGAGCCTTTTGTAATGTAGAGATGATGCGGCTGAAATCGCTGCCAGGAAACGAGTCTTTGTTGTGTAGAATGGTTGACTGAGCCTTTGTTATGTAGAGGTGGTGCGGTAAAGTCACCTATGTGACTTTACCGAAAAAACCTAAGAATATGAATCCTTGCAGTCACGAAAGCTTCAAATCTAGAACTCTGTTAGCTGGCGCCAAAATCTTGCCACACGCCCTCCCGCATGGCCTTGTGGGAGCTTCGGGCACGGCTTCCGACCTGAAGGCTTAACAATAAAGTGTAAACATTTTAAAAACATTTTCCCCGATTCTGTTGGGATGACGTACACGTACGTGCACGTACGTCATCAGAATAGGAAAGAGTTGAAGGTCACTCGAGTGTCTTGTGACACGACCATGGTGAACCCATCGAGTACTCGATACTCACTCAGCCTCCATTGTGCCTGGCGTTGGTTGTTCACTCTTTTCAGAATGGAGGACACAGGAGAGGGTACACCCACCCTTCGCCGGGACAAATGTTCTCCAATCCCGGAGCCAGTGCTCGCTCACAGATTCCAGCCCCATTTCTACCCAATCAGGTGAGGGCAGCGAGACTCGGCTCCAGGAGACCGGGTCTCAGTGTCTTGAGACTCGGCTCCAGGAGACCGGGTCTCGGGGTCTTGAGACTCGGCTCCAGGAGACCGGGTCTCAGGGTCTTGAGACTCGGCTCCAGGAGACCGGGTCTCAGGGTCTTGAGACTCGGCTCCAGGAGACCGGGTCTCGGGGTCTTGAGACTCGGCTCCAGGAGACCGGGTCTCAGGGTCTTGAGACTCGGCTCCAGGAGACCGGGTCTCAGGGTCTTGAGACTCGGCTCCAGGAGACCGGGTCTCAGGGTCTTGAGACTCGGCTCCAGGAGACCGGGTCTCAGGGTCTTGAGACTCGGCTCCAGGAGACCGGGTCTCAGGGTCTTGAGACTCGGCTCCAGGAGACCGGGTCTCAGGGTCTCGAGACTCGGCTTCAGGAGACCGGGTCTCAGCGTCTTGAGTCTCGGCTCCAGGAGACCGGGTCTCAGGGTCTTGAGACTCGGCTCCAGGAGACCGGGTCTCAAGTGTCTTGAGACTCGGCTCCAGGAGACCGGGTCTCAGGGTCTTGAGACTCGGCTCCAGGAGACAGGGTCTCAGGGTCTTGAGACTCGGCTCCAGGAGACAGGGTCTCAGGGTCTTGAGACTCGGCTCCAGGAGACCGGGTCTCAGGGTCTTGAGACTCGGCTCTAGGAGGTTTATATAAATGCATGTCTCTCTTTTCATCTTGTATGCCTTGTCTTTATATCTGTTACTCTACATTGCTCTTAAATATTTTATCATTGTAAATGGTTAAGACGACACGTGTGTATGTTGAACTTCTTTTGGACCGTGCGTAGCCAACTGTGTTAATCGGACACGGTCTACCAGACATGGTTCGTCTGGTAGACAGTCCTCAACGCGTGGTGGAGTGACGTTCACGTGCAAAGTGAGCGTAGAGCTAGACGTACAAGAGTGAACGGAAGGCGAGTGACCGCCGGTTTTGCGGGCGACCCCGGAGCCAGTCGGTGGATCATCAAATCACACACCACCTGCTGATTTACTCTGAATTCTCTGTCGAGCACAGTGAGGTAGCGACTGGGTGCCCTACCCTAGATACGACAGCAGGATTATGACAATGTCTATACATGCGGTAGAAACCCCTCTTAACGAACACGCCCGTTAACAACTCATCGCTTCGCAACAGGCCTCCACGGAGCTTACCGACCATTCCCCTGCTGACGACGGGCTCGCAACCAGCACGCAACCGCCAATTTCGGCCAATCGGCGAGCCCCAGAGTGGCCTGACCGGGCCTCGGCCAATCGGCGACGTCCGTTCGTGAGCGTTGGGGGGCACGTCGATTACATCCGGTGTCTGTCGAGGCTTTGACGTGGAAGCATCTCTTTTTGAATTCTTGGTGTTACTGCCAAACGACCAAATCACTTGACTACCGGTTTCGTGGAACCCAATTGCCGGCGTTAAGAGGGGTTCCACTGTGCGTATCTATCTTCATACCCCCCGTATGTGTTTGTGTGCCCAGTTGTCCCCTGCCCAGCTGTTGCAATGTGCTGCCAGGGCCAATAATATTAGCCCAGCCCAGCTCATGCAGGGAAACCTGGGGCCTCAGCAGTTCGCAGTGCTCAACCAGCTCGCTCAGGCTCAGATACAGCTGGTCAGTTCACGCGCGCACACGCCACTCGCAAAGCCTTGATTTTTTTCCCCCCTACGGAAGCTTTGTGCCAGCCTAGATGTCAATCGGCATTGGTCAAAACGCCGCTGCTGGGTTAAGGCCTTCCCCCGCTGCCGCCACCGCCGCCGCCGCCGCCACGCACGGTGCTGTGATGCAGCAGCGATCTACCCGGCACCTGTGCTGCACCAGAGCTGATTGCATTGCTCCCATGGTTGGGGGGGGGCAGGGTGTGGTGGCGATTCCATTCCTTGGCTGCCACGCTCCCTTGTTGTTCTCTACCATCAGCCATCGTCTTTCCTTGCGGAGTGTCCCTCCCGGCACAAGCGCCCCGCTGACTTCCCCTAACCGTTTGAGTGGTGTCATTAACCTACTTTGTGTTCTCCTATCGCTTCGATCGACGCGCGCCCTCTTTCTTTGCTTCAGCGTAATTCCAAGCACGCTGCTTTCTCTCTATGCTCCTCCTTTGCGCACTTTGAAATGGTTTTGTTCGACGTTTTTTTTTCCCGTTAACGATCACGGTTTGCGAGACGTTAAACCGAGTGCTCGGCTATAGCTTGCTGATGATCTCGGGCCGCTGACGACAAATGACCGTGCGCGCGTTTTTACGAGCCACGTCGCATCACGTAGTGCGCACTGATGAAAGAAACGTTGCCCTTTCGGCACATGGGGATGTTACTTTTCATCAGGCACGGAGCACTCCGAGCTATAATTTGGCAATGCAATATGGCCTTCTTGGTTCTTTTGGTAAAGTCACGTAGAAGGGAAATAATAAAATAATAAAAATAAAACATAATAAAATACAATTGTCACGACGTTTCATCAGCCATTTCGGACGCTGTCTTTCCGACAGACCTGTTCTTCACCTGAGGACGGCTGCTTGCGTTGTGGCCGAAACGTCGTGAGAATTGTATTTTATTATGTTTTATTTTAATTATTTTATAATTTCTCTTCTACGTGACTTTACCGAAAGAACCAAGAAGATGAATCCCTGCAGTCACGAAAGCTGTAAATCGAAATGCAACATGGCGTTTGGAGACGTTGATAATCCACCGTTCGACTATTTTTACGCTCGTGATTCGTGCGGCATTTATCTGCCGGAGGTGCCTAGAAAGCAACTCGGGTATCGTCCCAGCCAACATGCCGTGTATAGGCTGCGTCTCGCCATGCTTGGGGACGTGATTGTTCCGTGCTGCCCCCCTCCGCGCCTCCCCCCCCCCCCCACCTGCAGGCGCAGCAGAGACTGCTGCTGCAGCAGGGATCACGCAATGCATCGGCGGCGCTGAGGCAGCAGCAGGAGGCGCAGGTACGATTGAACGTGAACCATGTTCTCTATAATAGACTTTTTTGGGGTTGGATCGCGTAAATATAAATGTGCCGCTAAACCCGCCACCACCCGACTCAGCCAATTAGCAAGTTTTGTCACGTAAACAACGTGGCCAATTCGTTACGAGTTCAGCACACGCCGGTTGTGTGTTGGAGAGTAAACCCACTGCAACATTTACAATTATGATGTAGTGTATCATGTAGTGTATAGTGTAGTGTGTAGTGTAGTATACTAGTTCAGTACTAACTGGTTGTGTGTTGGAGAGTAAACCCACTGCAACATTTATAATTATAGTGTAGTGTATAGTGTAGTGTATTGTGTATAGTGTAGTGTATAGTGTAGTATACTAGTTCAGTACACACCGGTTGTGTGTTGGAGATTAAACCCACTACAACATTTACATGTCGAGGTAGCCGGTGACGTTTCACCGGTAATTACAACCAGCCTCGTCAGGCGACGGCCAGAGTTGTGGAGCCATCCTCCTGTTTCGGTCTTAGAGGGATAAATGCGGTGTCGTCGCTTGTGAACCAATCGTATTCTCTGGATTATAAGATTTTCCGAAAAGTGTGACGTCAACCCCACCGATTTAAAGCTTTCGTGACTGCAGGGATTCATCTTCTTGGTTCTTTCGGTAAAGTCACGTAGAAGGGAAATAATAAATATATAAAAATAAAACATAATAAAATAATTCTCACGACGTTTCGGCCACAACGCAAGCAGCCGTCCTCAGGTGAAGACCAGGGCTGTCGTTCAGACGCTGTCTCCCCGACAGACCTGGTCTTCACCTGAGGACGGCTGCTTGCGTTGTGGCCGAAACGTTGTGAGAATTATTTTATTACGTCTTATTTTTATTATTTTATTACTTCCCTTCTACGTGACTTTACCGAAAGAACCAAGAAGAAGGTCAACCCCACCGTTTGGTGTCGTTTAAAAAGACATTTCTCCGGGAATGCGACAGCCCTGGGAAAAGTCGAAATGAGTGCGAGAAATTTAATAAAGTTAGTGGTACCTCGGTACACGTCGTCAACTCGTTCCAGAAGGGGTAGTAGGACTTATACCGAAAATGACGTACGCCAAACGCATTTTTCCCATAAGAAATATATTTTATATGGCATCATTGGAACCTCCTTTGCCAGTAGCAAAATATGATAATTGTTTTTTTTACCCTTTTAGCTGTCAGTTTTGTTGCCAGATAAAAGGGTAAAAAAAACAATAATTAAATTTTGCTAATGGCAAAGGAGGTTCCAATGGTGTAATTGCTTACCCCGAGCTCTCATACTCTGATGGTGCATTGTCTTTGAGTTATGCTCCTTTTGGCGTCATCTGGTCCAACACCGCGTGAGACTAGGCTCTAAGGAAAGCTGTCTCGGGTGTGGACCAATCAATTTCAAGGACAGTGCATTTATTATCAGAGTTATGTTTTTTGTTTGCATTATGACGGCAGGTATTGTGGTCAATGTAAACATGACTCCTTGTAAAAAAGGTGTCAGTTTTGTTGCCAGATAGAAGGGTAAAAAAAACAATTATTTTATGTGGCATGTTATACATTAATGGGGTTGTATAAATTAATTTAGACACTACTTATTACTGAAATGCATCTTGAACGAATTAGCAAAAAATTCACGTTAAAATGACAAAAAACACGTGAAAATTCACGGAGAGTTGTAGCAAGGGTTGTGCACTGAACGAGATCTACAGGCAGACTGAGGAGCGGCGCTTTGTTTCAGTCGTGAACCGGGTCTACGCGGGTACGCGGTGACTCATCCCGACCCATACAAGTCCTAGCAAGCGCGTCGTATCCCAAGCAAGACGTCGTATCCCAAGACATTGTTTCCCCCCGTCAAAACACGACGTAGACCAAATTCGACGTATTTCAAAGCGATCGTATACCTGAGGTGGGACTGTACGAAATATAGAATGGAAGCTGGTGAACTTCAGTGCGTCTTACAATCTGGAGAAGATGGCTAATGGTTGGGAAGTGGCTGCGTGTAGTGGCAATGCAGCGTTAGTTTTATATACGTGTGGCGTCGTTGATGCAAATGGAAACTCACAGTCGCTGACGAACCACAGACGAGCAGCCAGGGGGGGTGGCTGGCGCTACCGAGAATTGTCCAAGATCTGCGGTCCTCTATACACAGGGTGCTTCAAAAAATTCGTAACACTTACATGATACGGTGGTACCCCGGAGATGGAACTTAATTGGTTCCAGAAGGCCATTCGAACACCGATTTGTTCGAACACCGAATTAATTTTCCCCATAAGAATTAGTGTAAATGACATTAATTGGTTCCAGACACAAGAAATCTCTCATTGTAAAGCATTTTTACACGAAGTTTACAGTAATTACATGCATAAAGCATACAAAAAAACAGGAAACAATAAATAAATGGAATAAATGAATAAATGTCTGGAATAAATAAAATAAATGAACATTGAGCTTCACTTTACCTGTAGTAAGGGGAGTTGATGGCTTGAGTGGAAGGTGGTGAGGAGGTGGAGGTGGTGGTGTTGTTTGGAAGGGGAGTCCCCTTCCATAATAACGTCGGGTAAACTGCCCTTCTGGGGTTCTTTCTCTTGTGTCCCTCTTTTCTGCCACTGACTGTGAGTCACTTGAGCTCTTTCTGACTAAAAACTTATCTAAAGAGGTTTGTTTCTGTCTCCGTTTTAGGATGTTTCGAAAATGACACGTTACATTAGCATTAAAAAGATTGCTCAACTCGGTTGGCTACTGCCTTATCAGGGTGACATTTTTAACTGAGCCTCTCACGATAACACCTTTGTCTGGGCAAGCGCCATGCACGCTGGCCATACGTGTCTCGGCCGTACAGGTTCTTTCAACTATGAGACCTCCTTTACCAGTGGCAAAATATAGTAATAGGTTTTTACCCTTTCAACTGGTACAAAAACTGACACCTTTATACAAGGCATCATGTTTGCAATAACCACAACACAAGCAGTCAAAATGCAAACAAAAAGAAACAACTATGATGATGATAATGATATGCACTGTCCTTGAAGTTGATTGGTGCACACCTGAGACAGCTTTTCTTAGAGCCTAGTCTCCATTGGTGTTGGACCAGATGACGCCAAAAGGCGTACAACTCAGACAGCGCACTATCAGAGTATTGAGAGCTCGGGGTGAGCATTTACACTATGAGACCTCCTTTACCAGTGGCAAAATATAGTAATAGGGTTTTTACCCTTTCAACTGGTACAAACATGATGCCTTGTATAAAGGTGTCAGTTTTGTACCAGTTGAAAGGGTAAAAACCTATTACTATACTAGGTTCTTTAAAGTGGCGATTGCCCGTTCGACCTCCGAATTTCGTTTGGTTTCCGGGGCAAAAAATGTTGGGAAATATCGTTCGAACACCAATTTTGTTCGAATTCTGGTGCGTTCGATCTCCGAGGTTCGACTGTACTATCTTTTTTAATTGCAAAAGAACGGATAATGCATTGTAACATGATAACAAATAGCTTCGAAAAGTCAGTCTCCCACTTACTCTTAGTTCTTTCGGTCAAGTCATGTAGGTAAAAAATGAAATAAAAATTAATAAAAATAAAACAATAAAAAATCACGACGTTTCGGAGGCAACACAAGTCTCCGTCATCAGGTGGGACCGTCCCGATACATTCCATTCATTGGCTACCACATTCTGATGAGCTCCCCCCCCCCTCTCCTCCCCCCTCAACTTGCTTTTAAGGGCTTACATCTTGAATCATTGCCTCACTTGATGCAGCAAATCTGGCTGTGACGGTCCCACCTGATGACGGAGACTTGTGTTGCCTTCGAAACGTCGTGATTTTTTTTTATAAATTTTTATTTCATTTTTTACCTACGTGACTTTACCGAAAGAGCTAAGAGTATGAATCCTTGCAGTCACGAAAGCTTCAAATCTAGTCTCCCACTTGTTCGCCATCGTTGTCAACGCGTGCCTGGAATCTTCTCCAGGTGGTCTCCAGAGCCCGGAGGCAGGTTTCTTGTGGTATTGTTGCAAATTATCGGAAGTGTTAGTTTTTTTTGAAGCACCCTGTATTTTAACATCTCTTTGGCGAATTAATGAGTGTTTTCACATGCGGGAAGGGGAGACCCAGGGAAAATCCCATGCGTCTGTGGGGACAACGCTATGCCACACGGAAGGGACAGATGATATCATTCGCACTTTTGCTGTATCCTGCTTTCTCCTGGCGAGCCCAGGGTAGTGGCACATCCTTGTGTATGTGTCTTTGTGTATGATCCAAGCAAGCCAGACTGCTGATGAGACCCCCCCGATTAGTACCTCCGATTAGAACGCTCGGCCATGTACGGTGTGAAAGAAGTTAAACATACGTACGTACATACGAGACACTTGGTCAATACCGGTCAGAGATGTGCTCCTCTTGAAACAATACTGCTGTAATGTATGCACTCCGGTAAAGCAGCGCTGCCGATGGGTTGTGTAAGAATTGCTTTCAAATTCGGTTTTGGTCGATTTCTCAAGAATTCTAAATTCTGTTGTGTCGAAGTTGGGGTGGAGGGGGGTGGGTTTGTAGCCACTGGGTTCCCTTCTCTGACGTCCATTCTGTCGTTTGTGCAGGTGGCTCGTACACTCAGCACGATTCTACAGCAGCAGCAGCAGCAACAGCAGCAGCAGCTGCACCAGAGAGTGGCGTCGTCTCACCGTGGGAACGCGCACGGACCCCCGCCGCCCCACGCGGACGTGCAGAGCAGGGAGCGGCTCGGTACCAACTCTTTCCTCCTGGGTACGGACGGAGAGCCTGCCTCGTATGTGGGGAGGTGGTGGTGGCGGTGGCGGCCACGACGATGAGAAAGGTGGTGGTAGTACTCGTGAAGGGTAGGGTAAAAACCTATTACTATATTTTGCCACTGGTAAAAGAGATCTCATAGAGAAAATGCTTACCCCGAGCTCTCAATACTCTGATATTGCACTGTGTTTGAGTTGTACGCCTTCTGGTGTCATTTGGTCCAACACCAATGGGGACTAGGCTCTAAAGAAAGCTGTCTCGGGTGTGGACCAATTAACTTCAAGGACAGTGCATATTATTATCATTATCAGAGTTGCTTTTTGTTTGCTTTTTTGACTACTTGTGTTGTGGTTATTGCAAACATGATGCCTTGAATAAAGGTGTCAGTTTTGTACCAGTTTAAAAGGGTAAAAACCTACTACGGTAGTGGTGGTGATTGGTGATGACGTTGGTGGAGGTGGGTTGATAGTTGTGGGTATGGTGGTGGTATTACTGATAGTGGCGGTAGTGATGGTTATGACCTTGTCGGCGGCATTGATCGACGGCAGTGGTGTTCTTGAAGGCGGTGTTTCATTATGGTGACATGATTTGTGACTATAATCACGGTGGCGGCGATGGTGGTTCATGACGGCGATCGCGACGTCGACAATATTTTTCTGGTGGTGGATGTTGCTGCTTTTTCGGTGGACCCACTGGTGACGGCAGGCAAGATAAGCGATGGGTTTTTTTTTCCCACCTTCCGGATTCATGCAGTCGCCACCATGACGATACACATTCCTCTACTTCCACCTTTTTTACAAGGAGTCATCTTTAAGAAGAGCTGTCTCGGGTGTGGACCAATCAATTTCAAGGACAGTGCATGCATTATCAGAGTTGTGGTTTTTGTTTGCATTCCGTCCGCAGGTATTGTGGTCAATGCAAACATGACTTCTTGTAAAAAAGGTGTCAGTTTTGTTACCAGATAAAAGGGTTAAAAAACTATTATATTTTGCTACTGGCAAATGAGGTTCCAGTGGTGTAAATGCTCACCCCGAGCTCTCATACTCTGATGGTGCATTGTCTTTGAGTTGTGCGCCTTTTGGTGTCATCTGGTCCAACACCATGTGAGACTAGGCTCTAAGAAAAGCTGTCTCGGGCGTGGACCAATCAACTTCAAGGACAGTGCATACATTATCAGAGTTGTGCTTTTTGTTTGCATTCCGACCGCAGGTATTGTGGTCAATGCAAACATGCCTCCTTGTAAAAAAAGGTGTCAGTTTGGTTGCCAGAGAAAAGGGTAAAAAATCAATTATCGTTGAAACGCCCCCCCCCCTTCCCCCCCCCGTGTGTATACTGACATCAGCGTTCTCCGTTTACCGTCGCTTTTGCCTTCTCAGCTCCGGGAGCGGAGGCCGCCTCCTTGGACCCCGTGTCGGCGATCGGTTCTCGGTTCAGGGAGTGGTCGCTCAGTCCCGGGGGCAGTGTGACCTCCGACAAACACGGTGAGACACAGGGACCCCCCTCCCTCCCTCCCTCAGCCCCAGCCCCCCCTTCCTCTATGGTCAACGTCAAATCTCGTTTGATTAAGCCACATCGTTTTCTTGGTTCTTTCGGTAAAGTCACGTAGAATGTAAATAATAAAATAATAAAAATACAACATTTAATAATTCTCACGACGTTTCGGCCACAACGCAAGCAGCCGTCCTCAGGTGGAGAACAGGTCTGTCGGGAAGACAGTCTGAATGAAACACCCCAGACTCTGTCTATTCGACAGACCTGTTCTCCAACTGAGGACGGCTGCTTGCGTTGTGGCCGAAACGTCGTGAGAATTATTTTATTATGTTTTATTTTTATTATTTTATTATTTCCCTTCTACGTGATGACTTTACCGAAAGAACCAAGAAGATGAATCCCTGCAGTCACGAAAGAAGCTTTAAATCGAAATTCAACTTCGTTTCTTAGACGATCGCAAACAGGCTCACGGTCGGCACTTAGGGCGGTTGTCCAAACGGTGCAGTTGACTAATGAAGTGCAACTCGGCAATGCCCGTTGCCAGATCTCGGTACAAATCGATTCCTGCCAAACGAACGCAGACGCCGGGCCGGCCGCTGCAGGTGAGATCACCATAGCGGGGCGGGGGGGGGAGTGTGTAGTGCAGTCATTGGGTTGGTGAGTGAGTGACTTACTGGCAAATTAATGATTGAATAAATAAGTGAGTGAGTGAACGAGTGGTTGGTTCATACTCTTAGGATTTTTCGGTAAAGTCACGTAGGTAAAAAAAAAATTAATAGAATAATAGAAATAAAATAATAAATGACGACGTTTCGGAGGCAACACAAGTCTCCGTCATCAGGTGGTGGGACCGTCACAGCTAAATTTACTGCATTAAGTGAGGCAAAATTCCAAGAGACAAGCCCTTAACATACAATTTGTTTTGCCTCACTTGATGCAAGTAAATTTAGCTGTGACGGTCCCACCTGATGACGGAGACTTGTGTTGCCTCCGAAACGTCGTGATTTATTATTTTATTTCTATTAATACTTCTATAAATTTTTAATATATTTTTCTACCTACGTGACTTTACCGAAAAACAACCTAAGAGTATGAATCCTTGCAGTCACGAAAGCTTCAAATCTAGAAGGAGTGGTTTGGTTTTTACCACATTTTCCGCAAGGCCAATCCAGACCTTGAATCTTAGCCGGGGGATGTGGGATCCGTGCAGTTTACCGTCGTGGAGTTCAACGCAGTTCCACCAGATATCGATCCAAACGTCAAATCCCCGCCGCGCAAACACAGATGCCAATTGCCGGAGTGGTGAACGTACCCCCAGGGGAACGGGTGGCAGGCTAAGTTTTTTCGGGTTGTTTTACTGCACGTTTTCTTGGTTCTTTCGGTAAAGTCACGTAGAAGGGAAGTAATAAAATAATAAAAATAAAACATAATAAAATAATTCTCACGACGTTTCGGCCACAACGCAAGCAGCCGTCCTCAGGTGAAGAACAGGTCTATCGGGGAGACAGCGTCTGAATGAAACAGCACACGTGCTTGGAGCATATATATAAGCTGGGTTGGAAGGGGGGGGGAAAGGGCGCCTTGACAAAAAATTCCTCTTGATATGCAAAATTATTTTGTCAAGGCGCCCTTTCCCCCCCCCCTTCCAACCCAGCTTATATGCATGCTCCAAGCACGTGTGCTGTTTCATTCAGACGCTGTCGCCTCGACAGACCTGGTTTCACCTGAGGGACGGCTGCTTGCGTTGTGGCCGAAACGTCGTGAGAATTATTTTATTATGTTTTATTTTTATTGTTTTATTACTTCCCTTCTACGTGACTTTACCGAAAGAACCAAGAAGATGAATCCCTGCAGTCACGAAAGAAGCTTTAAATCGAAATTTATTTTATTATGTTTTATTTTTATTATTTTATTACTTCCCTTCTACGTGACTTTACCGAAAGAACCAAGAAGATGAATCCCTGCAGTCACGAAAGAAGCTTTAAATCGAAATTTATTTTATTATGTTTTATTTTTATTATTTTATTACTTCCCTTCTACGTGACTTTACCGAAAGAACCAAGAAGATGAATCCCTGCAGTCACGAAAGAAGCTTTAAATCGAAATTTATTTTATTATGTTTTATTTTTATTATTTTATTACTTCCCTTCTACGTGACTTTACCGAAAGAACCAAGAAGATGAATCCCTGCAGTCACGAAAGAAGCTTTAAATCGAAATTTATTTTATTATGTTTTATTTTTATTATTTTATTACTTCCCTTCTACGTGACTTTACCGAAAGAACCAAGAAGATGAATCCCTGCAGTCACGAAAGAAGCTTTAAATCGAAATTTATTTTATTATGTTTTATTTTTATTATTTTATTACTTCCCTTCTACGTGACTTTACCGAAAGAACCAAGAAGATGAATCCCTGCAGTCACGAAAGAAGCTTTAAATCGAAATTTATTTTATTATGTTTTATTTTTATTATTTTATTACTTCCCTTCTACGTGACTTTACCGAAAGAACCAAGAAGATGAATCCCTGCAGTCACGAAAGAAGCTTTAAATCGAAATTTATTTTATTATGTTTTATTTTTATTATTTTATTACTTCCCTTCTACGTGACTTTACCGAAAGAACCAAGAAGATGAATCCCTGCAGTCACGAAAGAAGCTTTAAATCGAAATTTATTTTATTATGTTTTATTTTTATTATTTTATTACTTCCCTTCTACGTGACTTTACCGAAAGAACCAAGAAGATGAATCCCTGCAGTCACGAAAGAAGCTTTAAATCGAAATTTATTTTATTATGTTTTATTTTTATTATTGTATTACTTCCCTTCTACGTGACTTTACCGAAAGAACCAAGAAGATGAATCCCTGCAGTCACGAAAGAAGCTTTAAATCGAAATTTATTTTATTATGTTTTATTTTTATTATTGTATTACTTCCCTTCTACGTGACTTTACCGAAAGAACCAAGAAGATGAATCCCTGCAGTCACGAAAGAAGCTTTAAATCGAAATTTATTTTATTATGTTTTATTTTTATTATTGTATTACTTCCCTTCTACGTGACTTTACCGAAAGAACCAAGAAGATGAATCCCTGCAGTCACGAAAGAAGCTTTAAATCGAAATTTATTTTATTATGTTTTATTTTTATTATTTTATTACTTCCCTTCTACGTGACTTTACCGAAAGAACCAAGAAGATGAATCCCTGCAGTCACGAAAGAAGCTTTAAATCGAAATTTATTTTATTATGTTTTATTTTTATTATTGTATTACTTCCCTTCTACGTGACTTTACCGAAAGAACCAAGAAGATGAATCCCTGCAGTCACGAAAGAAGCTTTAAATCGAAATTTATTTTATTATGTTTTATTTTTATTATTGTATTACTTCCCTTCTACGTGACTTTACCGAAAGAACCAAGAAGATGAATCCCTGCAGTCACGAAAGAAGCTTTAAATCGAAATTTACTGCACATTGTTGGGCATCGTCCGACGTTTCGCTGCACGTGCCTGTAGCGTCCTTTTCAGGAGTGTTGTGATGGCTGTTTGAAGAAGCCGAAATAAACTTTTCAGTTGCTCCGGAACTTTCCCTGCATGTGGAGTGAAACGTCGGACATCGTGCCAACAGAAGCAAAATATGTATACAGTAGAAACCCCTCTTAATGACCACCCCTCTTGAAGACTAATCGCCTAACGACCAGCCTTCATAGAGCCCAATGTGTCGTGTGTAGTCGTGTGTAGTGTAGTGTGTAGTGTATAGTAGTGTATAGTGTAGTGTATAGTGTAGTGTATAGTGTAGTGTATAGTAGTGTAGTGTATAGTGTAGTGTGTAGTGTATAGTAGTGTAGTGTGTAGTGTATAGTAGTGTAGTGTATAGTAGTGTAGTGTATAGTAGTGTAGTGTATAGTAGTGTATAGTAGTGTAGTGTATAGTAGTGTATTGTAGTGTAGTGTATAGTAGTGTAGTGTATAGTAGTGTATTGTAGTGTAGTGTATAGTAGTGTATTGTAGTGTAGTGTATAGTAGTGTATTGTAGTGTATAGTAGTGTAGTGTATAGTAGTGCAGTGTATAGTAGTGTAGTGTATAGTAGTGTATTGTAGTGTAGTGTATAGTAGTGTAGTGTATAGTAGTGTATTGTAGTGTAGTGTATAGTAGTGTATTGTAGTGTAGTGTATAGTAGTGTATTGTAGTGTATAGTAGTGTAGTGTATAGTAGTGCAGTGTATAGTGCAGTGTAGTGCCTCCATAGAGCCCAATGTAGTTCGCTTACAAACCATTCCCCTGTTAACGACGGGCTATTGATGGTCCAGTAAATATTAATTAATGCATTGACTAAGCGTTTTTCTTTTAATATCATGTGTTTATCATGTTGTTAGTATCTTTGTGTGTTAATATCCATTGTTTAAACATAAAGTTAAAAAAAATATGGTTTAAAAAAGGTAACTTTCGGAACTATCGTTACGAATTAAGCCTTTAACGTGTACTTTTTATACTCGCTTAATGACCATATCACTTGGCAACCAGTTTCGTGGAACCAATTACCGTCGTTAAGAGAGGTTCTACTGTATCGGAGGAATCTGAGCTGTGAAGCGCTTTTTTTTTTACTGATGTCCGGTAGCGGCAGATCACAACGTTACAACATCTTCTTGGTTCTTTCGGTAAAGTCACGTAGAATGGAAATAATAAAATAATAAAAATTAACTTAATAAAATAATAAAAATAAAACATAATAAAATAATTCTCACGACGTTTCGGCCACAACGCAAGCAGCCGTCCTCAGGTGAAGAACAGGTCTGTCGTGATAATTATTTTGTAATGTTTTATTTTTATTATTTTATTATTTCCCTTCTACGTGACTTTACCAAAAGAACCAAGAGGATGAATCCCTGCAGTCACGAAAGCTTTAAATCGAAATTTAACGTTACAACAATGAACAATACAGAAATCTATGACAGGGAGTGCAAAGTATAGGAAGGTGTAAGCAAATAACTTGGAAAATATATATACAAATCAAACTAAACTATGTTTTATCTTACCAAGTAAAGCCTAATTTAAAGCTTTCGTGACTGCAGGCATTCATGTTCTTGGTTCTTTCGGTAAAGTAACGTAGAAGGGAAATAATCAAATAGTAAAAATATAAAATAATAAAATTCTCAAGACGTTTCGATTGCAACACAAGCAATCCTCATCGGGTGTGAAAATCACAGCAAGAAAATTTGAAAACCGCCACTTTTTTCACATTTTCTTGCCGTGCTTTTCTCAGCTGATGATGATCGCTTGTGTTGCAATCGAAACGTCGTGAGAATTGTATTGTTTAATTTTTATTATTTCCCTTCTACGTGACTTTACCGAAAGAACCAAGAAAATAAGTAAAGCCCACTTAGCTATATTAGCTTATTTCTCAGAAGCTACCTGGCCACAAATGATAGCTCAACAAAGCGACTCATTAACACGATGTGAAAAACATTGTGGATCTGTACATCACAAACGTGAATTATATATATACAGTTAGAGGCTCTGTTTTTGTTATTATGATACTTTGTATTTTGCACTTGTTATGTTCAACTTCTTTCGTACCGTACGTAGCCAACCGTACTCATCGCAGGTGCGGAGGAAGGGTACCACTCAACACAAATAACAGTTATAAAGAAATGCATTTTAAATTTAGTGCAGTGGTGTAGGATATAGTCGTGTAGTATGTAGTGTATGTGTGGTGAAATTTGCCACTGTACGTAGCCAACCGGACTAATTGGAGGTGCGGGGAAAGGACAACCAACGAAACACTAAAAGCAGTTCTAAAGAATAGTAGTAGGTTTATTCCCTTTCAACTGGTACAAAACTGACACCTTTATACAAGGAATCATGTTTGCAATAACCACAACACAAGTGGTCAAAATGCAAACAAAAAGAAACAACTCTGATAATGATTATGATATGCACTGTCCTTGAAGTTGATTGGTCCACACCCGAGAGTCAGTTTTTGTACCAGTTGAAAGGGTAAAAACCTATTACTATATTTTGCCACTGGTAAAGGAGGTCTCATAGTGTAAATGCTTACCCCGAGCTCTCAATACTCTGATAGTGTGCTGTTTTTGAGTTGTGCGCCTTTTGGCGTCATCTGGTCCAACACCATGTGAGACACTAGGCTCTAAGAAAAGCTGTCTCGGGTGTGGACCAAT